TGGAAAAAGACTGGGACAACACAGATAAAGCTGCTCAGTGGATCCACCAAACAGCTGCACGTTTGAATGAGCCTTTTGCTCTTTATCTTGGCCTCAATCTGCCTCATCCGTATAATACTGAATCTCTGGGGCCTACAGCTGGAGGATCCACCTTCCGCAGCTCCCCATACTGGCTCTCAAAGGCATGTATTATTTTAAATGTATTTTTTCATTGCTGCATATATTCCGAACACTCACATCATTTATCTCCAAATGTTCAGGTGTCGTCTGAGCTTGTCTCTGTTCCTAAATGGTTGCCTATGGCAGCCATGCATCCTGTTGACTTCTACTCCACCTACACCAAAAACTGCAGCAGCGAATTCACTGAGGAAGAAGTTAAAAGCATTCGGACTTTCTACTATGCCATGTGTGCGGAAGCAGACGCCATGCTGGGTTAGTTAAGGGAAAAAAAGTTTGAAGGAAAATGGTGAAATGTAGTCAGGTTTAGAAAAACATCGATCACACTTTCCCGCATCTGTCCCAACTTCAGGGTTTCTTTAAGGCTTGACTGGACGATTTAGATTTTTGTTCTAAAGCTGCTGGCCTGGCAGGTAAACCTGTTCTGCTTTTTTTTAAGGACTACAGGACATATATGGAAAATTAGATAATGGATCAAATGAAATCTATTAATAGAAGTACTTTTAAAAGAACTAGAATACCATTGAAAACTTTCATATCGTTTTCACCCATTTGGAAAGTAAAACCGATCTAGAATCACATGCGATGAAATATTTTAAGCCTGTTTTTCTTGTAACTTAGAAAATAATGGCCTTGAGGTAACAAATGATTACAATTCAGTGTCTCTCAAAATTACAATTTTAGAATTTTTTAAAGCTTAAACACATGATGCCACACCCTGATCAGATCACAAACTGAGTCTGGATGAAAAGTGTGAAAAGACAGAATCCAGGGATGTTTTGGGATGAAGTGTTTTCTGCTGCTGTTGGTTCACTGAAGTTTTCTGAGGTCCACAGGCAACAATAATCATTAGATAATTTGAGCCTCTCAAAACTCACCAGGTGGCCAGTGACCCGTTTTAAAGAGTTTACAATTAATAAATCAGAATGCATGAGAATTACACCAGTAAGATGTTTACCAACATAGACGTGTTAGACATCGTTGAAAAGCTTAGTTTCACCACAATTCAACCATTTTATGTTAATTTTATGAACACAGGGGGCAACAAAGCACAATTAATACAGATATAGCAGCATGTCAAAATGTAAACATGACAAAGCAGCCACAATGACAAGCATGTCTTTATTACTGCTGTTCAAAAAAGACTGGAGAATAAAAAAAACAACTTTGAGTCATGTTTGAACTGATGCAGTTTAGGCTGTGTTGTACTCACCCAATTTGAATTTATATTTTCAGAAACTAGAAGGTGTTAAGTTTCAAATAATGTATCACACATGTAATCTGGGCTTACATTTCCTAAGTTATTTGCTTTTCCATTTTGGTATGAAAAAAAGGTGAGGATTACCCAAAATGAGGTGGATGTTAAGAGCTTAAGAGCAGCTGATAAGCTTTATAGAGATGCTTATTTCATTTCACAGCTGGACTGAACATCTGTCCTCTCTGCCAAAGGTACCAGAGGCTGGTTCAAAGATGTAACTGTTTGGTCAGTAAACTGGCTGATATAAAACCACTAACATTTGTAGATGCTTTTACTCTAATCAAGTACATATTTGTTATTTCTTAAATGTTTAATTACATTGATACAACAACTTTGGCAAGGAAATGTTTTTTTATAGATTTCTATTCAATTGAAGAATACATTGATTATTTTTTTAGTATTTATCTATTGTTTTACCAATCTAACAGCGATTTTAAACCATCATCTCATCATTTCACTTTGAGTTGCATATTTTCAGCTAAATATTCTTGCCACAAAATAATATTATCGTGACATTTATGTTTGGCCAGATTTGAGAAAAGTGGCTTAAACTACATCTGATGGCTCTGAAAAGCTTGGTATTTCTATATGACATCAAACTGCTGATTGCAAGCTTTGATCAAAGAATTTGACTCTGTACTGTAGATTTACAGCTTAATGTGATTTCCAGAAAAGAATAAGATACATACATTTATGTACTTTTCTACTTTTGATTGATTTCTCTAAAAAGCTTGATTTCGCTGTATAACATCTAGGTGAGAGATTGTAATATCTGCTTAATGTTGACTACCTTCAGGTCAGGTGATTTCAGCTCTGAGGGAGACTGGCCTGCTGGACAACACTGTTGTGATCTTTACAGCCGACCATGGAGAGCTAGCCATGGAGCACCGGCAGTTCTATAAGATGTCAATGTTTGAAGGCAGTTCTCACGTCCCCCTGCTTGTTACGGGGCCAGGAGTGAAGTCTGGGCAGCAGGTCCACCAGCCGGTGTCCTTGGTTGATCTTTATCCCACTGTGCTTGGTAAGAAATGAGAAGGAAAATCTGTTTAAAGTTTTGGTAACAGAATACATATATGGATTGAACATGTTTTTTTTTTTTTTTGCAGAAATTGCTGGTATTCCAGCTGTTGGTTATTTAAGTGGAAACTCAATCCTGCCTTTTATATCCAAAGCAAGACATTTTTCCAAGAACGATCACCCAGAGTGGGTACTGAGTGAATATCATGGCTGCAATGCCAATGCCTCTACATATATGCTCAGGGTTGGCCATTGGAAATATATTGCCTATGCAGATGGGCGCAGTGTGCCCCCACAACTTTTCAGTGAGTCTAAAGTCATGCAAACTCTTTATCTTCTCCTTAAAATATTTTTATAGAAAGACACCATGATTGATATTAATAAATCCCCCCTTCTGTAACCCTTTTCTGCAGATGTCACGCTGGACAAGGATGAACTGCACAACGTGGTTCTCAAATTCCCAGACGTCCGGCTTCAACTCGACAAGCTACTGCGCAGCATTGTGGATTATCCTAAAGTCTCTGCGGCCGTCCAAATTTACAATAAGAGAGAGTTTACTGTGTGGCGGGAGAGCTTAGGGAGGAACTATACTGAGGTCATTGCTAACCTCAGGTGGCATGTGGACTGGCAGAAGGACATCCCAGCCAATCAAAGAGCCATCGATACATGGCTGCAGAAGACTGAATGGCTAAAGTCGTAGTTATTTATTTTTAATCTTTTTAAATGGAATACTTTGAAATTCCAAATTTCAAGTCAAGAATGTTTTTGAAGAATTTGAGTTGGAAATGTCTGCCAATATTTGGCCAAAATGTTTAAAGATTATACACCATACACTGGAAAAACAATCTAGAAATAAGTACCGGTAACATTTTCTTAAATGAAGTGTATTTACCCCTAATTTGAGTAGATAAATTAGATAGTTTGCCAATGGAATGAGTATTTTACTCTTAAAATAAGTTTATAATAATAATTAGATAACATGCACTTGAAATAAGACAATGCAATTGTGTTTTCTTATTTTAAGTATAAATCCTCTTGTTCCATCAGCAAAATGTCTCTTTTACCTCCTCAATCCAAGAACAAATGCACTTATTTTAAGAAAAAATGACTTATCTAGATTTCGATTTTTCAAGTAATGCTAACCATATGTTAATCTCATTTAAGGTGGTGCACGGGTTGCACCTTTCTCCCACTATACTAAAAAACATTTATGGATGTTTTAATGTTAGGTGTTCTGAGGACCAGGGGACTTTGGCTCATCTTTTTTTTCCATTGCCCTTTTGGTGGCACTCGTTTGATTTTCTGTCTGAGGTGATTGGGAATGAGGTCCCAAGCAGCTCTCGCACATTGTCTAGGTAACTGAACCTGGATGGGCAGGGGACAAAAAAGAGCCACAGGTCATGTCACAGACTGCAATACTACTGTAGCTAGGAATGGGATATTGTTCTATTGGAAATCAGATAAACTGTCCTTTTTGATATGTGGTTGAGAGAATAAGGAGAGAATCTGGAGAAAATCAAATTTACTTTGCATAGCCCAGAAAGTGTTTTCTATATTCTCAACCAGCTCTTAGCTTGATGGATAAATTCATATAACACGCACTCTGTATATATTTTATGTATATTTTCTGAAAAACCACCTGTCATTGTATGTTCTCACACTTTTGTGTGTTTTCTATTGGGAGATGAATGTTGGGTGTTTTTCATGTTGGAAAGCTATAGAATCAGTTAAATATATATATAAAAAAAAATGGAAAAGTAAAAAGGAACAAGTCCTTATTACTTTTGTAACATTCAAAGAAAGAGTATTTTCATTTGCAAAAATCAAAGTCAATGTAATTACCAAAAACTGTTGCTGTCCTTATATGGTGAAATGCAAAACAGAGCTTCTGAAAGAGATTTATATAAAATACCTACAGAAAGAGAAACATGTCTAAATATATTTATAAATATATTTTTTACATTTTACCTTTTTCAAAAAAAAAAAAAAAAAAAAAAATATATATATATATATATATATATATATATATATATATATATATATATATATATATATATATATATATATATATATATATATATATATATATATATATTTCTTTGATTTGTTTAGTTACATTAAGGCATGAAACTGACCTTCCGTCGTTATGTCCAGATTTTTTGTTTTTGTAAACTGATAATAAACCAGCACATGATGTTCACTGGGATCCTCAGTATTTATGGCATAAAAGATCTCCGTTAAATATATCAAATAAATTGTTGCTGTTCTGCTCACTGGTGGTGGGGACAGAGGTGTAGCCAGAACATTTTTATAAGGGTGGCCAGGCAATAATCAATGTACACTGAGGGGTGGACAGTAGTGGATAGGAGCCAGAACCTCCAGGGTCAAGCCAAATAATTCTTGTTTTATTTTTTTCTTTAAAAAAACAACAAAAGCTAGATATTTCTTTTAGATCTTTTACACACATCCTGCCCTCCAAAAATCTCTTTCGAGATCCGGAGAAAAATACAAAAAAAAGTTGGTGCTTTTATTTTGAAAAGAGTATTAGCTACAAGCTACTACTTCCGGTTCCATTCAAGCAACAGCTTTAATCAGTTCTCTAATAACACTCTGGCTCTAATGGTGAATGTAAACTGTAAGTTATCAATACATTCATTTTTTTAAAACTATATAGGATAGAAGTGTTTCAGCTAAAAGATAAACCAGTCAAATGCTCGGCTTTTATCCATATTTAAGCTAATGTGATGAACTGTTGCGAGCAAACATCTTCTAGTAGGAACTAAATGAAGTAGTTTTTTACCATTAAAGGTGATCTGCTAGGGTTGTTTTCACCAGAAATAAAGTGCAGCTCACAACCAGCTGAATATTTTCTTTGACTAACGTTTAGTGCTATATATTGAACTTGTAGCATGTTGCTAAGAGTTACTTTCAGGATTTACAGTAAATGTCTGTTTCTTAAAGATGTCCAACAAAGAAGTGAAAGCCGCACTGAAAAGTGCCAGAGAAGCCATTAACAATAAAGAGTTCAAAGAGGTCTTAAAGCACTGCAAGGTAACGTGTCCCAAAAGTGCAGCCATCCACCTCTTGGTGGAAGAAAGTGAAAGAGCTGATTTTTCCTTCTACACTTTGTTTTCAGGCTGTTCTGAAACTTGAAAAGAATAATTACAATGCCTGGGTGTTCATCGGCAAGGCAGCCAGCGAGCTGGAACAACCCGATCAGTCCCAAGCAGCTTATAAAAAGGCAGTGGAGCTGGAGCCTGAGCAGCTGCTGGCCTGGCAGGTAAGGTCCTGCTCTGTGCAGGAGTCTCCATCTAAAACCTTCTGCACAATTTTCACACTGATTATGCAGAGGCGTAGCCAGAAAATTTTTATAACCAATGTGCACTGAGGAGTGGCCGAAAGTAGATCGGCACCAGAACCTCAGGGTCAATCTACACTGTTCCAACAGGAAAACTTCCATATTTTATAAATAAAGACAAACTATGCTTTCCTATAGCCTTTGCTAACAAATAGACAAATATATTTAAACATCCGTACTTTCTAGATAAAAGGTATAGCAGATTAAATTCTTTCAGGTTTGAGTTTTGGGTGAACATCTTTCCCATTGTCATTACTTACCTACTTTTATCAGTAATCATTCTGTATAAAATTGATATTTACAAGTACTAATATCTACATAAATTGATTATTTAATAAGTTTTTATTAAAATAGTTATCTATGATTTCACTGAAGACTCCTAGGCTACGTTAACACTGCAGCCTGAGGTGACCCAAATCCGATTTTTTTTGGCCCACATGTGACCTATATCTGATCTTTTCATGGCAGTCTGAAGAACACAGATCTTATTTTTTGCAATGCGACCCAGCCCACTTGGCTATGTGGTCCTGAATCCGATAGGAATCTGATCTTTTCAAATATGATCTGTGTCTGTACGGCTAGGTCGCATTCATCCAACCTGACCGCCGTTAATAGCCGGTCAGGTTGTGTAGCAAGAAGGTCTGCTTCTTGCTACACAGAAGCGGCAAGAAAAACAAATACCATCGAGGACGAAGATGGGGAGAGCAGTATTTTTTTAACCATCTTGAAAAGATTGAAGTTTTAAGCTTTGGAAAGATCGCTAGATGCGCTCCAGCACTACATCCATGTTTACTTCCGTAAACACAGAGCACGCTGGCCTGTGACGGCATTGCGTCCTTAAGCTGTATGAATACAGTTCACGCAGGAGATCACATACAAGTCGCATATATTTGGAAATGTAAACGGCAATGTAAAAAAATTGGATTTGACAAAAAAATTCGGAATTGAGCATCAAGGCCTGCAGTGTGAACGTAACCCTAGATGACTTGCAGAGACACATCATTTTCTCTTTACCCCATAAAACACAAAATCTATTTGAATTCTGTGCTTATCATCTTTAATGTTAGTATATTGATGTGCAGAATTAACCACAGTGTTTTTGTTGTCAGGTAATTGTCAATATGTGAAAAATGCAAATGTTTATAATATTCCAATTGAGAGTACTACTGTTGCCACCATCTATATTAGAGGGAAATAAATGGTAGGGGTGGCCAATGATTGCCCCCCATTTAGCTCCGCCCCTGCGTTTATGTCAACTTGGATCAATAGGAATTTATCCTTTTTTGTAGGGATTGGCAAATCTTTATGAAAACACTGATCAGTGGGATTTCAAAGATGAACTGCCTAATGTCTACCAGAAGCTTGTGGAGCTTTATGCAAGGTAAGGTGTTTCCTTTTTATAATTGTTTATGTATCAGGACAAAATATAGGGCAGTTGATAACGATATGAACAAAACAGCTTAAAAACCACTTGATTGACCACTTGAACACATGATTATCAAAAGGTAAATATGGGCAATGTTGGCTTAGTGGTCAGAGCAGTGCGCTTGTTCTCTAAGAAGGTTACAAGTATCTGGTTCGCTCCCCACAGCTTGCACTCTGGGTCCCTTAGCAAGACCCTTAACCCCACACCGCTCCCCGGGCGCTGCACAATGGCAGCCCTCTGCTCCCCAAGGGAATGGGATAAATGCAGAGGTAAATTACCCCTGTGTGAGATCAATAAAGTTCCATTCTTCTTCTTCTTCTTATTATTATTATTATATCAGAGAGATTTGTGAAGTTACCACTGCTTTCTCTGGATGTAATGAGCATAAACTAAGGGCTGCCCCTCCCTCATCTGTTGACTGCTGACAAAAAGTCAAAATTGTCTGTTAAGAAATAAACACGGCAATAGCGCCAAATCTGAAGCTCCATGTTTTCATTTCATTAAAGTAAGACTGGGAATGCAGGTGGCACAGTGGTTAGCGCGCACGACCCATGTACGTCGGAGGCCTAAGTCCTCGACGCGGCCGATCTGGGTTTGAATCCGACTTGTCTTTTGCCGCATGTCTCTCCCCCTCTCTCATACCCTGTTTCCTGTCAGCCTACTGTAAAAAACAAAAAACGAGCCACTAGTGCCGTAAAAAAAAGTTAGTCTGGGTTCTGCAAGAACCTATAGTCAGTTATTATGAGCAATAGCCTTTAGTGGCGCATTATGCTTGTGAAATTCTTATTAAAGGCAGAATGTCCAAAAATACTGCTGATTTTTGGAGAGTTTTATATTTTTTTTATTTATTTGACCTAAAAGGAATCTTTTATATTACTGTTCTTCTGTTATTTATATTTGTTTTTACTTTTCATTTCTTTTCTCGAGGCTAATCCCATACTGGCCCATAGCTAATCACAACGCATTTTTTAAAAAGATTTTTACTATATAAAATTAAGTATCCATGTTTGATTTTCTTTTACAGGACGGATAAGAATAAAAGCTATGACATGATCAAAAAGCTGTCAGATATTTATCTGTCCGACAGGGAGTATTTGAAGGTGTGTACATTTCATATTTCAAGCACGCAGCTCTTTATTAAAACATCTTTTTAAAACATTCATTTTCACAATAATTAACCTTCCACTTGTTTATGAGCAGCTGGCTAAGGTTTGGCTCCAGCTCGTCCAACTGAAGGAGGAAGACGGCGCGGAAAAGAAGGAGTTAGTTCAGTTATTGCAAACAATGACCCAGCTCCTGTCTGACTGCGTCACTGAGAATGAGAAGCAGGATAACGAGACTCAGCAACACGTAAGCTTAGCTCAGCTAGATGAAATCACAGAAACACATAATTTATAGTATTATTGAGTAATTACAGAGGGTAACACTGACCATTACCGCTGTGTTTCATTTGTTAATGATGATCAGTTGATAACGGCGTTTGAGAAAGCCATGACTCTCACTGAACCGATGCCTGGAGAGGAGCACAGGAAGCTCTCGGCTGATTTTATTAAATATCTCTCCAAAGTAAGGGCAGCTTCAAATCTCATACATTTAACAAATCTTCATCCTTTTGTTCTTTTTGTGAAATATATATATTTTTTAAAGTGACCTTAAGGTTATAAATCTGCTTTTCTCGCAGCTACCACATGAGGAAGGCAAAATGAAAGAGGCGTGTCGCTCCATGTTGTCTGTGTATCCGAACCAAAGCTATCCTCTCGAGGTCCTTTGCAGTCATTTTCTCAAAACAAGTAAGCTGTTCTTCTAGTCACACTCATTAGAAGCTTATGTTTTGTTTTTTTTTTCCTTCAGAAATTTTGAGTTTTTACTGTGGAAAATTCTGCTAGCATAAAAACTCAATGAATCTGGTTTAATTATGATTAAAGCCAGCATCACTTATTTAACACTTCATAGGCCTCATACTAAAACTACACAAAATTATCTAGAATATAAAACACCCTAAATTTACACATTAGAAATTAAGATTGACACCTTTTCTATTTATGTTTCACCACAGTTAAATGAAATGGCAACTCTGAGGAAATTTGTTTTCTTTTGAAGGTAACGTGGATGATGATGCAGTCAGCTGTTTCTCCAGACTCCTGGAACTGGTACCTAACAGTGGATTGGGTCACTTGGGTCTGGGTACCAAGGCTCTGCTGGAGGGGAGGTATAAAGAAGCTGTAGATGACCTGGCAAAGGGTTAGTTTACACATTTACAATTACATTTACACATTTATTTATTTATTAGCAAATTAGTAAACCTCGATAAGCAAATCATTTATGCTAAAAAAAAAAACAAAGATTTATTGCACATTTTAAATACCGTAATTTTTGGACTATAAGCCGCGACTTTTTCCCCATTTTTCGACCTTGCGGCTTATATAACAATGCGGCTTATCTATGGACTTTTACAGCTACAGTAACAGTCACTAGGGTAATACGGTACCTAAATCTATGGATTTTACCATCCACCATGTTGACGTCACATTTGCTTCAACACACAAGTAGCTGCGACGAATGCGGACGTCCTCCGGAGGCAGACTCCGAGGAAGACGGACATTGCGAGCGGAAGACAGTTTGTGTGACACCCTCATTATGGAAAACAAACGTTGAAATGCATATGATGCAACTTTTAAGTTAAAGACAGTAAATTTGGCAGTAAACGAAGGAAACAGAACCGCTGCACGTAAACCTTGGAATCAACGAGTCAATGGTGAGACGTTGGAGACGCCAGCAGGTAGAATTGTCTCAATTAAATTGTGTTGAGATGTTAATAAATAGGAGCTTCCCCAAACAGTTGCCTCCTTACCCGAAAATCCTCTCTGTGCACGAACCATATGGTAATTAAACATAAAAAAACCTGCGGCTTGTATATGTACAAATCCTGCAATTTAGCTTCTGTGGCTTATATTCAGGTGTGGCTTATAGTCCAAAAATTACGGTAGTTTGTAAATTGCAAAAAAAAAAAAAAAAAAAATTTAAATTAAATGCCCGAAACATGGCATTTTATTAAGAGTTAATTTCTGAAAGTAATTGATAATAACTACAATGATGTTTTACATTATTTTTCATGTTTTATGCAGTAATGCAGTTTATTTTATTATAATGTTCCACTATAGGCTGCCGCCGCTCTGTCAATTTGCTACTTATATAAATATATTCTGCTAAGGAACAAACTGAGACTCACTGTAAACCTAAATCTGCAGTTTGGTCTTAATTACTGCTCTGAGTTAGAAATGGTGTGATTTAGAGTCTGCATGCTCCAGTTTACAATTATTTTATTGTGGAATTATTTGATGATTATTAGAGTTATTCATTAATCCCAATTAATCTGTTTTGCTCCAATTTAACATTGTTTTAAAAAAAGCTGTTCTCCTTTATCAGGATTAAAGAAAACAAGCTCTGCAGGTGGATGGTACAGTCTGGCTGAGGCTCAGTTTAAAATACATAGATACTCCGACAGCGCTGCATCAAGCTCACAAGGTAGGTTTATGGCTTCTAGTCGTCGTTCTCCTTGTTGAAGATCCAAAGTGTGCTAGGGTTCTTAAGTGCGAGACATCAGAAGAAGTTTGAAGAAGGATTTTTTGGTTAGAATTATTAGAAAAACACAAATCTCCATTGTTTTCCTTTCTTTTAGGCTTAAATGTTTGTACTTCTGATGACAAGAAGCTAAGAGACAAACTCCTTCGACTGAAGCTGGAGGCTTTAGTGAGAACTGAAGGAGAGCTGGCTGCCGATCAGGCTCTGGAAACATTTTCCCAGGTAATCTGCCTGCTTCATGATCCAAGTATTAAAAATATCACATGTAGTACAGCTTTAAACTTTGCTGTTTGATATAAAAACACCAGGAGAACTTTTTATGATTTATACATATGAATCCTGTTATCCATGAACTCCTCCTACACAAACTGTTCACTGCTTCAGCTGCTCTTTAAGATTTTTTTATGAGAAATCAAAGGCTTGGTTTATCACACAGAGGAACTGGTTTACATATTGATGACAAATGATGGTAATAAATGTTCTTTTAAAGGATATTCGAGGACATTTAGGTAAAAGAATACATTGAATAGAGTAAATTTTAGTTTTATTAATATAAATCGAATGTGTTTTAGTTTAGATAACAAAACAGATCCACAACAGTAAAAGTTTTAAATAAATAGTGTGTTCTATTGTTTTCTTCTGATCCCCAAATGAACCTGATGTTCTCAAACTGTAATCCTATGAATGAATGAGGCCAAATTAATTCAGTTAAATTAGTATAATGACATTTACATAGAATAGAACAGAATTCAACTTTATTGTCATTACACTTTCATAAGTACAAAACAACAAAATTCACTCTCTGCATTTAACCCATCCCCTTGATGAGCAGTGGGCTGCCATTGTGCGGCTCCTGGGATGCAGTGTGGGGTTAAGGGTCTTGCTCCGGAACCCAGAGTGGCAATTTGTGGGAGTGGGGCTTGAACTCAGAACCTCTGGAACCCAAGCGCGATGCCCTAATCCCTAGCCCACCACTCTCTACCATAACGTGTCGCTATGATAACATTTTCTTTACACATATAATAAGCTAAATCAGGTGATCAATCAGGACAGTAAGATCATTGGTTTCAACTCCTGAAATGATGGAACCAGACTCCTCCAATCCTCTACTCACTGATTTAGTTTTTGTCCTCTTGTTTTTCATCTGTAACTTTCTGAACAAGGAAATACTGACCAATACATTACCAATACATTTAATTAACATTCATCTAATTTTCGAAGAAAAAACATTTTTTTAATTCTTGTTTAGTTTATTTTGGACATAAATCTCTAGATATGGGTTTTTCTAGATATATGATTTTAACTAATCTGTTTTAGCTATTTGCATATTATTGTACGGTCTTCCCTCGACAGATGCCATTTTTATTTTATTCAATAGATAATAACGTATCCTTAAAAGATACCAGAATTGTTTTATGGTTGAGTATGAAGATCAAATGTTTTATGTATTGAGATGCTTTAGTGTAGATCACAACAGATTTCTGATTTTTTTTTCTCTCATTTTAGATTCCAGAGGCTGTAAAGGATCCGGTTCTGTTAGCCCTGAAAGGACGAGCGCACCTGAACAAAGGACAGCTTGATCAAACACTCAAGGTTGAAAATCTGGGTTAAATCAGTGGGATATTATCTTAATATGATTATAAGAAGTTATGTTTTTACTTGGTTTACTTGATTTTATTTTAAAAGCTGTTGTCGGAGCTGGAAGCGTCCAACCCCAGCCTGCCCCAGGGACTGACTCTGAGAGGACTGGCACATTTGGCTGAGGGTCAGCTCCAGTTGGCAGAGCAGAGGTAATCAGAATCGAAAGAGAAATTTAAGTCAGTTGAAACGAAATGAGAAGAATTGATCTTCACTTTCCTCCTTTTGTTTAGCTTCTTACAGGCAGCAAAGCAGACCCCAGACAGCGGGGAATGTTTTTTCCTCCTTGGAAAACTTTACTGGGATATGGGCTCAGAAACTCGTAAAGACCGCAGCAAAACACACACACACCTGTTAAAGGTTGGTAGGATTGGAATTGAAGGATGTTTTAGGTCTTCTAATGTACTTATGATTGAGTAACTAGATTATCCTGAATGACATTTAAGATTGTGCTTCATTTCTGCATTTCAGGCAGCAAAGTTAGATCCACATCTTGGCTGTGCGTTTCGCTACCTGGGTCATTATTACCGAGAGGTGGCAAATGATAGTGCTCGTGCACAAGGGTGCTACAGGAAGGCATTCCAGTTAAACAGTGATGATGCTGAGTCTGGAGCTGCTTCAGTGGATCTTAGTATGGGACAGGGAGATATGGTGAGCAGAGAGATTGTGATGTTTTTATTTAGAATAAAGTATAGTGTATTTTTTCTTTTGACACTGTTATTCTTTTATTTTCTTTTTTTTAATCTGTCTTTTTTATCATAACCAAATGCCACAGGAGAGTGCATTGGCGACGCTTGAGTCTGTGATAGAGAAAGCAACTCCAGGCTCAGCTAAGTGGGCCTGGATGAGACGAGGTCTGTACCACCTGAAGGTTGGAGAACACCAACAGGCCATATCTGAGTAAGAATTTCAACTTTGAAAAAACTTTAAGACTTTTTTTCATTAGGCTAAAGCATTGCTGCTATTTACAGTCTGCAGGCTGCTTTGAGGGCAGATCCTGAGGACTGGGTTTGCTGGGAATGTTTGGGCGAGGCCTACCTGAACAGGCGGAGCTTCACAGCAGCTCTGAAGTCCTTCGGCAAAGCACATCAGCTTCACCCCGGCTCCATCTACAGCGTTTACCAGGCAGCTGCCATCAAACAGACTCTGGGGAAGTTCAAAGAGGCGGTGGATGAGTATTTGCAAATCACAACGCAGCAGGACTACGTCCCTGCTCTTAAAGGTACATGTTTAGCTTTAGTGGATATTGACTGTCACACTTATATTACACTTTGGATTAAATTTCCATTTTTTGCTAAGGTCTTGGGGAGTGCCAGTTGTCTTTGGCAAAGAGTTTAATGGAAGACTGCAGAGACGGAGGAGCGATCAACCTCATTCAACAAGCCATACACAACCTCTACAGGTAATGACCGGAAGATGCTTAATGGTTTCCATAACTCATTCTGCTCTCCAGGTCACCATGTTTTACATTTCTGTTCTCTTCAGAGCGGTTCAGCTGCGGCCAGACCTGTCTTGTTTGTGGAAGCTGCTCGGTGACGCCTGCACCGCAGTTAGAGTTGTTTCGCCCAACAGGGCTCAGGTTGAGGTGCCAACCTTACTGACTGGATTTGACTCCAGCAAACAGGATCACAGGCTGAACCAAACTGAGACACTCAAAGCTGGAGAAAGGTGCTGCATGGGTTTATCTCTATCTTTATAACACACCTTAACAACAGACATTAGAGTAACATAAACGTTTTTATTCCCCTTTTTTCATATTTTCATAATTCAACGTACTGCAGCTACAACTTCAATTAACTTTGTGGATTTTGTGGAATAAGGTGACACATGATGGGGCACAACTGTGAAGTTAAAAGACAAAAATAATTAGTCTGATCAAGTTTGCTGATGAAGGTTCTCAGTCATCCAGGTCATAGTCATTCCGTAAAAATTTGTGTTGCACCGATACCGATACCAGTATTGGACGGGGCCCCGATACTGCCCTAAAATGGTGGTATCGGTATCAGCGAGTACCAACAATTAGGGCACCGATACCATTTTGAGAGCCATAAGTTTCTTCAACTATTGTCACCCATTCCCGGTAGGCAATAAAAAGTTCTACTGGATTCCCTTTGTATTAGATTTTTTCCTGCTTCACAAAGGTAGGCAGCAGCTTGACAAAGCAATTATGGCAATTATTTTACATTATTATGGTATCGGCTGATACTGCACAGCCAGGTATCGGGTATCGGGGCCAAAAAATGGCATCGGCGCAACACTATTAAAATTCAAAAAATATCCACTGGACTTGGTTTCCAAGATTTGAAGACATTTCTCCACCTCTCCAGGAAGCTTTCTCAATTCAAATGTCTGGATCCGCAGTGAGTTTGAGTCTTATATAGACAAAGCCTTGTATCGCTTGGAAACATGCAAATGTTAACCGATGAATGGGTCGTTTGGTTCCATCGTTAGCCTGTAATGACAGGTTTCAGATATTACAGGCAAATCTTGGAAACCAAGTCCAGTGGATATATTTTTTTTAATTCTGATCAAGTTTCTCAAGTACAAAAATAAAAAAAGTTAACCAAGATCCCAGCTGCCTACAGCTATCAGCGTCTACAACTACTCCCAGGTCGTGTTTTTATATATATATATGACAGTAATGGGTACTTATTAATGGCATTCAAATTATTTCTAAGAGCATTAAAAGAGCATTAAATTAGAGTTCCTCCTTCCTGTATAAACCCTGGGTTTGCATGTTGGCCAGAATTTTACTTTTTAAAAGCTTTCTTTCCAGCATGACTCATTTCTTGCCACTTTTCCAGCTAAACTTCTGAGGCTTTCACACAGGGGGACTTTATTTTGAGATGTTTGTTGATTAAATTCCTCACAGCGTTTCTTCTGAAGACTTCTGCACTAGATTTCTGTTTTATTTTTGGGGCACAGTAGGAAAAGGGGCTGAATACAAATGCATTTATACTTTGTTTAACGTTAAATATAATTATTTGAATGATTAAAAGCCCTGTATGAATTTCCCTAAATGCTACAGTTGAAGCACCAATTGAAGATGGGTTATAAAACAAAATGTTATGTTCCAGGTGTTACGCTCATGCTTTGAAGTTGATGCCTGAGGTCGCCAGCCTTTGGTATGACTTAGGGTTCAACTATTACCACCAGGCCACTATCTCCCCTTCAGATCAACACCAAGACTGCCCCCCTTTGAACCTGCAGAAGGCCCAGCAGGTAATAAGAGAGCTTGCACACAGTAATCATTTACTGATTGTTACCAGACTGAATTTGACTTTATTATTCTTCTGCCAGTGCTTGAAAAAAGCTATCCAAATGGACAGTGAGAACCATACCTACTGGAATGCCTTGGGAGTGATTTCCATGAGCAAAGGTAACAATATACTAAATAGGTGAACCCATTTGCCATCATTTCTAAGCAAAGTCATTAACATTTTTACTCCTGATTCTGATTCCTTTGTTCCTTCTAAAATAAAATGTAACATAACCAGTGTTATTTTTTAAAATTAAAGGGAAAGTTTATATCCTTCACTTGCTGCTTCTCTTTATGTCAGAAAAAGTAAAATATTTCTGTTTTGTTGCATCAGGTCTGGAGAGCTACGGTTTGGCACAACATTGCTTCATTAAGTCCATCCAAGTTGAGCCAAATGTAGGTACTGTACATTTTTATTAGATAGGATTGAGTTATTTTTAGGGATTTTTAGGAGCCCTTTGTTGTTTTAACACAGAATGTTGTCGCGTGGACGAACCTCGGTACGTTGTATTTAAAAAAGGACAATATAGAGGTAAGAACCGTCATGTTCCAATATGGTGTGATTATTTCCACTGTTGTTAGTTGATGGCTTTAATTAAAGTGGGATTTCTGGTCTTAGCTTGCACATGAAGCCTTCAAAATCGCCCAGTCTTTGGAGCCACTGTATGTCAACTGCTGGATTGGACAGGTACTTCTAACATTTCAATGTAATAAGTTTTCATTTCCAGTAGATACTGCAATTCAGAAAGACAATGATGAAGTGCCTCCCTTTGGTTGTTCTTTCTTTGCTTTCTTCTTTCCGTTTTCTTTCTTGTGTCCTACAGCCTTATTTATTTAATGTTATTTTAGTTTATTTCCTTTTTTTGGTCAATATTTAAACAAACCGAAACGCATAGATTTATTTATTTAAAACTAATGTTGCACCGATACGAGTATCGAGCGGGGCCCCGATCCAGCACTAAAATGGTGGTATCGGTATCGGCGAGTACCAACAAATAGGGCACCGAATTTGCGAGCCAAAATGTTATTCAACTATTGTCACCCATTCCAGGTAGGCAATAAAAAGTTCTACTGGATTTGGTTTGTATTAGTCTTTTTCCTGCTTCACAAAGGTAGGCAGCAGCTTGACAAAGCCATGATGGCAATTATTTTACATCCAGGTAGTATGCAGTTCTTCATTTACACATCGATTTCAAACAGATGGTATCGGTATCAGCCAATACTGCTCAGTATTGGAACCAAAAAATGGCACCGGTGCAACACTATTTAAAACTAATATCAGGAACTGAGAACGATCTGGAAAAACCATGAAATATATGTTGAAACACCACGGTACCAATAATCAATCAGTCTTACATTGAATTGGGTCAGACACAGAAAGGAGTCGCTGCTACCATTAATTATTGTAGGTAAACATCTTTAAGAAATTTTGAATACATTTCTTAATAGATTTTTAAGATATCCGTGGGTTTCAGCAGATGATTTCTACCAATGCAGGACAGATACAATTAAAAGCTCCTATGGAAGAAATCAAACAAACAAAACTTTCATGAAGTTAAAACTTTCATTAACCCTTAGCTGACTTCCCTGCAGATATCAGTCTTAGTTTCTTTATTCAGAGGAAAAATGTGTTTTGAAGAGAGACTCATTTAATAGGTGAGGAGAAATTTGTATCCTTTTATCACCCATTTACTTTCAAAAATCTCACCTACATTTCCTGCCATTTTGATCTATGGGAAGTATGTAGAAGTGCTCCCTACATCTGTTTCTATGTAGCCAATAATACGCCTGTTTTTACAACAATGGGAATACCCTGCTGTCGTATTTTTTCTTCATCTTCTATTTATGGTAACAGGGTTTCTGTCTTAGGGAGGTGTGGCTTTAATGTCCACTTTTTGTCCCAAAAAACTGCTTTTAAGGGACCTTTAAACAGGAATGAATTTATTTTTGATCAACTGAAGTAAAGCAAGGGCAAGGATGTCAACAAGGATGTCCTTTTATATCAGTCTGGTACACTTTCCATGATAGGGACTTTGACAGTTCTGCAGCACTTGTTTTTTTTTTTTTTTCTTGTTAATTATAGTTTACCTTTTCTGCCATCCTACCAGGCGCTGATCGCAGAGCGCGTGGGAAGCTACGACACCATGGATCTTTTCAGGCACACCACTGAACTCTGCACACACGTGCGTAACATCTCAGAGCCTCCTCCATTCTGAAAGCCGCTCATTAGCTGGATAGTGTTCACCTTTCTAACTCTGCACACATTTCGACTCCTAGCTTTGTGCTCCTCTGTGTGGGGGTGCTAAAGCTTTTTTATTTTTCAGACCTCTCTGATCCCCATTTGCATCCACTAAAGTACCTCTGATATTTTCATCCTTCAGATGGAAGGAGTCAAAGGTTATGCCTACTGGGTTTGTTCCACCCTTTTGGATAAGACTAACAGAGACAGTGAGCTGTACCGCTACAACATCGTCCAAATGAATGCCGTCTCTGCTGCTCATGTCGCGCTCTGCAAGTACACAGGTGCTGTCATTGACAGAGTTTTAGATTGTTCAAAAATTTTGATACATTTCTGAACTGTGTTGTTTTTAATTTGTTGTGACTTGAGACTAATTGGGTTGTATGACTTGTATTATGCATACAGAAAGAATCCAGTCTGATCCAGATGCTTTTATTATGCTGGGTTACCTTAATGAACACCTCCAGCTGAAGAGGCAGGCCTTACAGGCTTACCGGAGGTGGAAATAAACATGGATGAAAAGTATAGGTGCACATTTTCCAACAAAGAAATCATATGACACCGACTCCCTTAATCCTTGTTCTCCTTCCAGAGCTGTTGAACTGCTTAAGTCCACATCCTCTTCAGATCTGTTGGTCTTTTCACTCGGCGGATACGCCCGTGCTTTATGGTACACCTTTGCCCTGTTAATATGATTTATTTGTTGATCCTCTTGCATGTTCCCTGAGCTTCACTGTTTTTATGGCGCATTGTTTCCATTTGCAGCAATTCAGGCCAATGGGAGGAAGCAGTGCAGGTTTTTAATTCCACTCCACTTCAGGATCTAACTGAGCTGGTAGGGCTTGCTCTGGCCTACTGCAGGGCGGGACTCTTCGCAGAGAGCATTAGCGGTGAGAAGATAACTGGTATTGGTGGAAAATCCCAAAAAAACCAATCCACTGGACTTTGTTTCCAAGTTTGAAGACATTTTGCTTCCCATCCAGGAAGCTTTTTCAATTCAAATTCTTTCAATTGTTGGCCTGGCTGCCCAGGCGAGATGCTTTTTCTGGGCAGCCAGGCCGACAATTGCCCCTAATGATCCCCCTTTGAGAGGCATAGACCAGTATCGGGTATTGCTGGCTGACAAAGAATCCAAACAAATCCCCATTCCGAAGGGGCGGACCTGTTCTGGTTCAATTTGCACATTTTCTAAGCCAAAACACATTTTTTGGGCTACTATATAAAGCTTCAAAATCAACGCTAATTCTGACATTTTGAATTGAAAAAGCTTCCTGTAAACTTGGAAACAAAGTCTAGTGGATTGTTTTTTAACATTTTTGGAATGACTACGACCTGGATGACTGAGAATCGTCACCAGAATAGATAGAAAATATTTTAGCTTTATTATTTTTCTAAACTGAGAATCTTTGTTTCTGACATAGCATATGAGCGTGCCTTAGCTGTGACGTCCAATGAGAAGGAGAAGGCTTATATTTTGACTGCTCTGGCTTTGCTGCAGCACCGAATGGGCAACCTGGACTCTGCCAAAACTCTGCTTTTTAAATGGTAAATCCACAATCTTTTATTGTCATAACTGTCTTTTTCATTCTTTTTGTTAGAAATGTTTTGTCATTCTGCGTCGTAGCCATACCAATGCTAGAGCTATTGCCTGTATTCAGTCCTTCATAGGTGAAAAAGAAGCTGACTGTTTGCTTAAAGGTAACTTTAAGCAGTGCAAATCATAGCATCATGTTATCTAGCAATCCTGCTTGAATGACCTGAATTCATATTGTTAGAATTGCAGTACATCAGGATCACAACCCTCTGCAAGGTATAAAAAAATTGGATCTTAGATCTTAAAATAAAAGTTGGGCTAGTTCTTCTAAAACTGCTCTTTTACTTTGCTGTATAAATTATACAGTATTAGTTCATTTTACCTATTAGCCTATAAATACATCTCATGAAACTGAAAAAGCACCAAAAAGTAGAGTTATTTTTGTAATTAAGTTAAAAAAACCTTTAAAAACTGACCATAAAAATAAAGTTGTTCATACTAACTGTTCTCATGGTGCAGGTATGATAAAATTGGATTAAAACTGAATTTTTAAAATCTGATTTAAGTTTTAGAAACACCTAACCGGTCCCTCATCTCTGTGTCCACAGTTCCGTCTTAAAGGAGCCCATCTCAGAGTCTCTGCTTTGTTTATGTGCTCTGGGATTGGTCCACAGTGATGCTACACTAGCCGCTGCCGCCCTGACTGAGCTGCTGAAGCAAGGTTCAGCATCAGGGGGGGTTGTAGAGCAGCGGTGTCTGCTGACCTGCTCCTTGCTGGCCCTTCAGGGAAACTACAGCGCAGTGCAAAGAGAGGCCTCCAGAGCTGTGCACAGGTATGCTGCTTGGAACTACTGAAACAGAATAGTTTTGATTTTAAAGAACTGAGCAAATATTAAGATTGTATCGTTAGTTTTAAAATGAACAAACAATATCCTGTCATTGACTGCAGATTATTAACTATAGCATAACAAGGTCCATTAGAAGCATGGATGCAGGACTTTTTTTGCCCACGTGTCTGAGCTGGATTGAATTTCTTTCTGCTTTGTTCAGTAATCCTGGGAATGCATCCCTGTGGGCTCTTTTGTCCAGAGTAATACCGCAATACTACCCTAGAAAGGCCCGGGTAAGTGTTTTTATTCCAGAAGTGCTTCTAGATCCACAGCCACAGTAATATTCCATGACAGTCACTGTTTTTTCTCGCATGATTTTGGGTCCTTTATGTTACAGGGGGGTGCAGTGGCAGGTCACATTGCCTGCCTCTTTAGTATGACTCAAGGAAAGGTAAAAGTCTGATAATATATTTACTTCTGTTACTGAGCATATGCACCTTTTTAACGTTTTTACGTTTGACATTTTTCACCACAGTGATTTTGTTTGTGTGCCTACAGAGGGCACTGTTGTACAGTGGAGTAAACCAAGTGGCTTATGGGAAACATACTGGAGAGGATCCTCACAGAAATGCATTTAAGACTCTGCAGAAAGCTGTTGTGCTCTGTCCTGGTACACAAACACGCAAACCTTCTGAAATAGCTTGAATATAAACGATTTACTCGATAATCAAAACCATCTACTGAAAAGAGTATATTCATATATTATTATTTCATGTCTTTTTTTATCTGTATTAAGAATTATTCCTTCATATCACAAAAAGATATAAACGGGCTTTGATTTCCCAATTCAAGTTTCCTCCATGAAGTGGGCATGTTTGAAATGCTGAAGGTTTATTCTTTTATCTTTAGATGATCCAGCAACATGGGCGGGATTAATGGCAGCCTGTCACACTGAAAACACCGCCTGTTATCTTTCTGGCTCTCCTCCTCACAGACAGTCACTGGAACACACTTTAATGTCTGTGGTCTCTGAGAAAGGTGTCAGCATTGGTCTCTTTTAACCACACAGCTTTCTTTATTTGTGTTTCATATGTAAGACTGACCTATTTCTGTTTTCTAGTGCGTAACGTAGAGGAGATGGAGCGCCCTTTGCCTCAGGCTCTGGAAGGCTGGGTGCTACAGCAGGCTGTGTTAGGTCTAAGGCAACAAGGGCAGCTGGAGCAGGCTGAGGCTCTCTGTATGCAGGTAGAATATAAACTACCCCTTTTTTATTCACATCCAATTAAAATTTTCACTGTGAATAACGGGAAATGACGCAATAAACCTGCAGTAGTTATCACCTGCCTTATTTCCTTCTTAATTGCAGGTCCTCAGTGTGTCACCAGAGCACCCAGCGGTGCTGCTGTCACTGACACAGGTTCAGTGTCAGCGCCTCCTCCTGACCGAAGGCGGTACTGTTCTTCCAGAACAGGTCCTGGAAAAGCTAAACAAAGCAGTTCTGATGAACCCTACAAACCTTGGAGCGTGGCATGTATGGGACCTTAATTTCTTAAAAAAACATTTTTTAAAGCTTTTAAATTTAGTGCTTTAGTAACATAGTAAACAAACTCCTCTTCTCTCTGATAAAAAAAAAAAAAGTTGTTGATGCATCAGTTAATTTTCAATGGCCCGTTTCTGTTCTTTGGTTATTTTGGTTATTATGAGATCATAATTACATTTTTGGATGCAGCTGGTTCAGATTGCACCTTTAGAACTCAGACAGAAAGGTAAACGCCTATTGCAAAAAGCTAAATCAACATCCTTAAATGACTTTCAAAACCTTCAGAAGAAAAACACAGTAGATTAAAACAAAACACCATTTTAACTATTAGAAGAAGAAAGTGGCTCCATTTTTAGAATATGTAAACACCCTTGGAAAGAAAATATTTACATAGAAATGTAGCATGTAGCCTTTTTGTTATCTGCTTTAAGTTTAACTCTCTCTTGGTCTCTTATAGCCAGAATGATTGCCTGACAAATGGTAGAAAACATGCTTTGCTTTTAATTGTCTTTTTTAATCAGTTTTGTTTCCTCTCATTTCACAGTTATACTCAGTGATACTTAAAACAACTAATGTTAGACGCAGCTTCCAGCTGTAGGGCGTTGCTGTCAGCATGCATGGTAGTGCTTACTGTCTCATAAACACATTAGATTTATTTTTATATATTGCGAGCTGTTTTTTAGGGAGACAGACAAGCAACAAACTCGCGACGTTGCAGTTTATTGCTGAATTATAAGTTGCATATTTATGCAGTAATATTTTTGCCCCATTTTCTAAAATGAGGCAGCAATGGATCTCATATTTTAATCTTTAAAATTGGGGTATGTCCATTTTCAAATTAACAATTTAGTCTCCTTCTCCCATCCCAGTGGCTGGCTGAGGTGTATCGTAACCAGGGTCTGCTAGTCCAGGCCGTCATGGCATATAGACAGAGTCTGCAGCTTGCCCTGCAGCTGGGGGCACATAGCTTCCAGGTGGCTAGTCTGCTCCGACTGGCTCTGTTAGCCCTTGGACCGTGCATGGTGAGTCTATGAGCACAGATTTATATCATTAATGTTTCTATTTTTTGAGAGACAAAATGCATCTAAATAAGGAAAGTCTACAGCTGGAATGATCATAAACGACATTGTTTAACATTATATATAATGGATAAAAGATAGAAATTACTCTCATTATGTCAGAGGGGAAACTTTTTGAAGTGTGGATAAAAACAGGGATTGTAAATATAACTTAGGATGAGCAGCCAAACCAGCTGTCTTTTGATTGTTTTTTAATTTGATATTTATTTCAGTCAGTATAAAGATTGTTGAAAAAAAAAAATATATATATATATATATATTGTTGAAAAAAAAAAAAAAATATATATATATATATCATCCTAATAAAGATAATAAAACATGTCTTTATCAATATTGCCTACTCTCAATCCTATATTATTCCTTCTTTTATGTCTCACATCTTACTGTCAGTAATTTAAATGCAATTAGAAAATTGACAGAAATATTTTTGGCATGGAAACATAATGGGGGTTTGTTTCTCAGGCTGGAGTCCCTGGAAATGACTGGAAGGATCTTGTGATGGAAGCCACTACAGAGGTTCTGAAGCTGGGCTCTTCTCCCATGGCCCTCCTCTTCCAGGCTTTGCTCCAATATGTGAACAAGATGACTGCAAGGTCAGCGCTGGTCTCTGGGTAGTTTACACTGAAATAGAAACTATATTAGAGCTCATATGCATAATATAGATTCACTGAATCTTTCATAAAGAGATAATTGTTTAATATCTGCGTGTAATTTACAATCTGAAGTGATCATAGTTATATTCCTAAAGTTTTAGATTTATGCAGCTATCTGTTTTGTTTTTACGTTGGTTAGCAGTAAATAAGCTAAACCTCTTCCGCTTTGACATAAAAATGTTGTCTAGCTACCTCTAAAGTGTTTCAGATAGGTGGTTGCAGTTATCACTGAGCTGAGGAGTCAATAGAAGTCCTGCTGGTTAAAATAAATTTGCTTCACCAACTTTCACATATCACTTACTGCCTTTTTAGTGCTGAAAAGATGTTTGTTACACTTAAATCCAAACACCAGTCACAGATTATCTGCTTCAGAATCTTGAAGACTTCCGATTATTGGTGGCTATATATCTTCAACTTTATAGGAGAGTATTTGGAAAAGAGTGTCTACCTTCAAGGTGTGATATAAGCATAAAAGCACTTCTGTTATACAGCAGAACATTAACCTAAGGCATCCAACAAGTTAACCTCTGAACAACTAATAAACATAAAATGGAGGCTTTGGGAGGGGCATTGCCACATCCCTGTGATAAAAACAGTTATTAGGAGCCATTTTGTTCCAGTTGGTTAGGATGCTACCCCCGTAATAAATACAATAAAAAATCACACAAATGTCCAGTAAAGTGTCTAGACTTCGTTTATAATGTTATAGAATGTGGAAAAGGATGAAGGATGACCAAACCAGTTTCCCCAGAAAAGCCCCGTTATTTTACCGTACCTCACCACTGTTTATCCTGTCCTCATTGTATTCTTTCCTTTGCAGAGAAACAAGGCGTTTGCTGGAGAGACTCGTCTATGTTTCCTCTGATGACACCCCAGTGACAGTGGTGCAGGTTGCCAGTTGGTACCTTCTCAGACTCTTGCATGCCAAAAATGACCAGGAACTCATCAATGTAAGTAAACGACCACCTCGTCCATACGGTGCCACCTTACTACTGGATTTAATGTTTATCCGAGCTGTCATGGTAAGCATTTTTGTCTTTTTGCAGGTTCTTTTGCAGCATGCTAAAACGACTGGTAATCAAAGACTGCTGGAGCTTCACTCACAGCTGACGTCGTCCTCATCCTGAATGTTGCGTCAGCGTCGTTTTGCATGTGTTGGAATAAGCAGGTTACCAGACTGCTATACAACCACAGACAATTCAGCTTCTCTCCATGTTTCTCCATGATGCTACAGAAAATATGAATGTAAGGCATCACAGGGCATATCTTAATAATCATTTTTATTTTTATCATGTCATTTTTATTTCATTTTATTTTTCTTTTCATTCTAAATATTAAATCAGTTTTTCTTTCATTATATCATGACAATATTTCCAAACATTAACATCTTCATCCAGCACTAAATAAAGACATTTTGCCCATCAGAGATTGTCGTTTATTTGTTCTACAAGACACTTAATGTGTGATTCTGTGAAATGACTTTTAGCACATCGTATTACAGTTTGTTGTGGAAGACAGGGAAGAAACAGAGCTGCTTTCCAAGTATGATTACAGCCAGAAAGAAGCAGTTAGAGCTTTGGTTTTTCAAATGAATCAGGCCCAATGTTACAGCACATTTTAAACCCTCACTGAACAGAAATGTTTGGTCATGAGTGTGCAAATGTTCTGCCCACATCCCCAGCACATCTGCTTGACATGTGGAGAACCCTGTTGTACCTTCCTGTTGCACAGTGAACAATCAGCCACAGCAGCTTCGACATTGGGGTTTCTAAGATTATTGGCTAGAAGCTGTTTAAGGTTTTCCAGCTCTGCGTTCGGAGCCTTAGTAATGTCGACAACCTTTATTCTACTTGGGTCAAAGACGCAGTCCTCCTCTAGGCCGCTGGGCACTGCTTTCATGCCACAGTTGGGGGGTACCCATGCGGTGTCGTAGCCTTGCGTGCTCCAGGTGTACTGCATCGGATGGTTGTCTTTGTCGATGCGTTTTACGCGCCCAACTCGTACGTGCAGCTTGAGTACCACTCGATCTGAAGCGTTAATGTTCAGAGGATAGCGTTCAGCCTTCTTCCTGTCACGACTTACATACACACCCTTTCCCAGCATGCCCTTCTGGGACTGCTGAAAGCCATTGGTAATGATGAGATGTGCGTTGGCAGCAGTGGTGCCATGGTACATAGTGTAGACGCTCCGATCTTTGGGCTCTTGGGAGGCCCCCAGCTCCAGACAGGAGTCATCATCATAGGTCACCTCCCAGCCAAAGTACTGCAGTGACATCCTGCTTCAGTTACAGGGCGATAGTCAGGCTGTGAAGGAAATAACTATCATTAAATGGGGAAAGTTGACTAAACTGTTTGTGATTAACCTAAGAAAACATTCTAAATCTGCATCATTGTTGTTTTGATACATAAGGATGTAAGGAAACAACCCTCCAGGCCCCTTTTCCTCTTGGTTATAGTGGATATGCCTGATTGCTATATTTTATATCCAAACATTTTATATTACCTTATTCAAATTCAGCTTTACAATATGATTTGGAATGAACCTATATATTTCCGGATGAACAACGACAACAAACAATGCATGCCTCGAAAAAGTAATATTCCTTTTATTATATTTAAAAAAGGAAATCCCTTCTTTAAAAAGAGAGTCATGATTTAAAAGCAGACCCTGTAAGGACGTGAGACGTAAGAAAATCTCAACTGGTAGGTGAACATATCTTCAAACGGTTGAAAAGAAGAAATAACCGTAGCCAAATCACAAATAATTTATCTCGGCAGTGAAAAGAGATTTATAGTTAGTAATTTAAAGAAAAGTCAACTTTCAGCTTACAGTCTGTCGTAATAATTCAACTCTATACGTCCTTTAACTCCAAAACTTACCGTCGTTGAGAAGTCGTCGGTTCTGAAGGGTGGATATGTACTTTCTGTTTTGTATTTCGCCAAAGTTCCGAGTATCAATCAACAGTCACACGTCTCTTGTGTGTTCAATATGTGCATCTCTCTTGCTGCGTATGTGGCCGGTTAGCTCAGTTGGTTAGAGCGTGGTGCTAATAACGCCAAGGTCGCGGGTTCGATCCCCGTACGGGCCATTCGTTTTTGGTAAGCGTTAGACTTATGGTCCTATGCAGTAAGTGTTGGTTGTTTTTTTTAACCCTTCCATGCATGAATTATGATAAACTCAGTGAGAATGTGTTTTGAAACACCCTTAGCAATGTAAAATAAGTTTTGAAAAAAAAAAAAGTTTTATTTTTACTCTATAAAGAAATATTTATCTGTCCACTCAAGTGTACTCTATGCATTTATACTATAAAAATTATTATTATTTTGTTGGAATGGTGGTTCCTCTACTCGCCTGTAGAAACCGAGGTGTTTGGTCTTTTCTATCTATCTTGATATCTGCCTTTTTTTTTTTTTTTCCATTGCATTGATCAACAAATCGGATTTTTCTGTATGGGATGATGCAATAGCTTCCACTAGATTTGACTTTAAGCATAAATGCCCAAAGTTCAAAAAACTACTTTGTAGTGATCACCTTGCACAGATTTTCAGGAGAAACATTACTTTAAACATTACTTTATTTTGTTTATTTCACAATAATATAGAGCTTGGAGCAATTCACTTTTTCTCAGAGAAAAGAAGAGTGAAGATCACCAGAAACAAGAAAAAATACAAATGTATGAATGAGAGCCTTGCACATGCAAAAAGTGAAACAGAAAGGAGCAGAAGTGGCCAAAGTGCAGATATAAGATTTTCATTTGAGACAGGCTTAGATATGAACAGAACAGAGATTTTATCAAGTTCAAGCAGATAATTTCACAAAAAAGTGTTTTTTTTATTTATTTATTTTTGGCCTGCATTATAATCATTAAGGATTGCATCATTCGACTCTATGTTTTTATTCCTTCCACAGCTTCTGTCAAGGTTTCCTCTGACAAAAGTGTTTGGATGTGAGAATGCAGATGTTTAGGCCACACTTCCAGCACTTCTGCTTAATATGAGGAGCTCCATGTTGGGTCTTCCTCTTGCACAGGGGACAAGCATCTTTCCCATCACCAGCTCGCCCCTTGTCCTTTTTAGATACTTTATCCAGAAGCTGCTTAAGCTCCTTTTCTATCGCAGCATTTGGCGCTCTAGCGATTCCCACGACCTTCACCCTTTTAGGGTCAAACACGCAGTCTTCCTCCAGGCCGCTGGGCACAGATTTCATGCCGCAGTTTGGGGGGACCCAAGCGGTGTTGTAGCCTTGGGAGCTCCAGGTTAACTGCAGTGGATGGTTGTCCTTGTCTATACGCTTCACACGTCCTACACGAACACGCAGCTCGAAAATCACACGGTCATTAGGGTTACTTCCTAGAGGATAGTTAGCGGCCTTCTTCACATCCCTGCTTACGTACACACCCTTTCCCAGCATGCCACTGGACGACTGCTGAAATCCACCGGTGATGATGGCCCGCGCGCTGGTGATGCTGGTTCCATGGAACATGGTGTAGACTCCTTTGTTTTGAGGCTTTTGTGCTGGAGTCAACAACACACCAGGGAAACAGGCTCCATCATCCACCACCTCCCAGCCAGAGAACTTGATTGACATCCTGACCTGTTTTAACCAATAAGCAATAAGTAAAAGTAAGATTCTTCAATCTGGGTTGATGTATTTTTTTTACCTTACATTATAATATAAAGCTTAAATTGCTTTAAAGAGGATATATTGTTGGAAAGCTAAACCTGTTTTATTTGTAAAGGCCCTCATACATAATGTTACCATGGCCTGAAATAATAACTCACAAATGCGATCAGATTTTTTCATTTGGTGAGTTAATGCCACCATTCACCAAAAGGAAAGTAAATGTTTGGACAGCAGTTGCACTTTAGTCACGTCCTTTCGTCTTTTATTTTGGCAAGTCTCCCCCTCTGTTGCTTTGTTCCTTTGCTGTATGTTCATCACCACCAACACCTGGTCATTTAACCTTTTATAGGGAAAGTTACTGTTATTGATCACTTGCATACCCCCTTATAAATGAAGTCCCCGGCCATCCCGAAGTGAGGTCTTCAACAGGGGGTCTGCGACCCCTAGGGGGTGCACAGAGGTACTGCAAGGGGGTCGCAAAACTTTGGTTGCTTACTTTACGCTTTTTTGAATGAAATTCATAATAACAACTTTATTTAATGAAACTACATTACCTTTCACTGTAACGTTGTTTGCCGATAAAAATATGATTGGCCGTCCGTCTACTTGGAGTTATTATCGGACTAAACGTGAAAAATAAGAAAGCCTGTTTCAGGCAGCAAATAAAACACTTAAATACCTCTGTAGTTGCTTTTTCTGGACAGGCCTTTCACACAATAACAGGAACTATTTCTGCGCTATTGATAAAATAAAACAAACATATTTAATTATCTAAGCCCAATCAGTAAAAGCTCCGCGCGATTAAGGATTAACATTCTTTTGCAGTATAAAAACAACCTTATGGAATAAGAGGTTTTTAAAAGTGAACCTACCGTGATAAGTCGCTGTCTGCCAACCTGTCATCTAGTTTTTGTTTCGTTACTTTCGATTTCCCCGAAGCTGAACCTGACCACAGTACTCAAACAAAGCTTCTGTCTAAGAGTAGGCGGGTCTTATAATGGCAAATATACATGTGTGCTGCATGCTTATAGACCGAATATATTTTTGCATTTATAATAAAGAAAGACTTTTCCTTTCAACCCTTTGTAGGCCCACCAATCGGTATATATTTGAATTTCTTGATCTGCGGTCTTCTTACGGTGTAGCCGAAATAGCTCAGTTGGGAGAGCGTTAGACTGAAGATCTAAAGGTCCCTGGTTCGATCCCGGGTTTCGGCAAGCATTCTTTTTTCCACTCTGATAACATTTGTCTGGAATTGAATTCTAATGTATTAGATTATAAAGCTTAAGCTACTATTATTTTTAATAAGATCAGGCCTAGTTACCAACTCAGGTTTGATATGTGTTTTTGGATCTGGTCTCTTTCATTCTTTATTTTCTGCATTGAAATCAGATGTGAGTTATGTTGATTAGTAAATTAACCAAAGCACCTTCTATTTCCAAGCCTTTTTGATGTTGTCTGCTTGTGCTTCATGGCTCTTCGTATTCTTATGACTTCTCTCTTGACTTTATCTGATAAGCACCTTATTTAACACACACGTGAGGCAAACCAGCTCTAAAGATGATCAAAGTCAGCTTTGCAGCCTTATCTTCAGGGCTGTCTTTGGTACAGCTTTTACAAAATGATCACTTATTTTTTTTCTTTGTAGTTAATAAATGAAAATGTTGAATTATTGAACATTTTTTATACTAATTTATTTTCTGATGTTCTGTTATTTAAAGACTGCTTATGCTTCCTGGATAATTGTAATATACGGCATACAGTATATAATATAAGTATTTTTATTTAAAATAAGTATCTTTTTGTATTCACAAAATGGCCAAGAAACAGAGATAGTTAGATTTAATCACTTCCTGATTTCCCCAAAGCTCTCTTTCAGCTGTTTTTCCTATATGTTGGATCCAGTTGACATATTGCTTGCATGTGTTTGTGCAGTAGTGACAGAAAGTTACCAGCAGTGATCATCCACCATTGTGGTATGCCTGTTTGATCAGCTGCAGTTCCAGTGTATTTCAATGGGCCTGGATCATCTCTGTCTCTAACTTCCTTATAGCTTCCTGCAGAAAACCAAATTCAGCCAATCAGGGATTCAACATAGAATAAAAAAAAAATAAAAGTGTGGAGTCGTTTCTCAAAATGTGCAGGGTTTAATATTTGAAAATAACATAATTCTTTTTCATTTTCATCTTTGTCAGCCTAAGTGACCGATGTAGCATCCCTATGGTCAGTCAGAGAAGGGAGTAATGGCAGTGACCTACTTTTTCTGCATTTTCATTTATTTTATGGCAGATGCGTGACCATTGGTCAAGAGTTAATGTGCTGCCATCACAGTGATGTACCAGCCTTCGGAGTGAAATGAGCATTGACTGAATCATTGTCGGCGTTTGTGAGGAAGTCTGCTGCTCCTGCCTTTAGATTTATTAAAGTGGCTGCAAGCTTTAGGACATGATGCACATTTTACATCTTAATCCTAGATTTAACCATTTTCTAGTATTGGTCTCCAATAAAAAAAAAAAAAAAAACATTGTCCAAAAGCTTTTAGGATGACTTTGCGTCATATTTGCTTGCATTTATATGGACTCTGTCATACCTGATAGCACATTATCTTCAGGAGGATTTAAAAGGAAACAGGTCAATGAAATGTATTTCAGTGAAAACACTGAAAAAAAAAAAAAACATAAAACAAATTGCATGGCATATCAAACAAATTCAGTAGTGGTTAATTCAGTTGTTGGGTTGAGGAAAACTAGCACGGTACATTAAACTACATACATTGACCCTACACAAGTACACAGTGATGGCACCATGTTTCTGCGGGAAGTTTTCTTCAGCAGTGACCAAAGTCGATTTGAAGATAAATGAGGACAGTACTATAAGACAACCCTCTGCTAAGCAATGGGTTGGTTTGGACTGGAGGTCCTTGTCGCTGTGTGGGGTTGGAGAAAGGTCACATTATTATGGCTAATGTATGACTCATTAAACAGCCACTCAAAAAGAGGCTTGAGGGCTGTACTTAGGCAAAGTATTGCTCCAAGCTAGGTGTCAGCAAGCCTTTGTATCTGTAGTAATAAGCTGGTGAGATGATGTTAATAAGATCAAGACATTAAATAAAGATTTGCAACATACCTGGATGAAATGAAGCTAATATAGATATGTGTCATTTATGCCCTCGAGGCCTTGAAGTATCCATAATTATCTTATCTAAAAAATGAAATAAAAAAACAAAACAACTGCATTACAGTCAAGTGTAAAATCGCAGTGATGCTCTGGTGTGGACCAAAGTGACATACACAGCTGTTTCAAGGGCACCATGGCTGGTGTTAGGTCATAGCAGCCAGATGGTGCTGAAAAAATACAAACAACAAAATACAGACAAAGAGACATGTTGAAGGATATACAGTTTTACTCATGTCTACTCCGGCAATTGTTTTTATCACTGGTGCTTTTCATCAGATCCACACAATTCAGCATAGATTTTTTCTTATTTTATTTTTAATTTTCAGTTGTGCAATTTTTTTCTTGGAATGTAATCATCTACTGCTCCCGGTGAAGAAAGCCAGAACAGCTGAGCCTGGTTCTGCTGGAGGTTCCTCACTGTAAAAATGGAGGTTTTTCTCTCCACTGTCGCTACAAGCATGCTTAGTGTGAGGGATTGCATTCAAGTCAATGAGTCGATGCAATCAACTGGTTTTCCTTAGATAGAAAACTTTGAATCAATTTGACTGTATGATCTGCTGAACTGTAAAGTGCCTTGAGATGACATGTGCTGTGAATTGCTGTTATATAAATAAACTGAATTGAATTGAGCTGGTGGGAGAAAACTAAATCATAGCAGAGGGATGAGAGGGAATGACGCTAAGCGGGGAAGGCAGGGGTTATAACAGAAGGGAAACACAGTTATGGAGCACATGAAAGCCGAGCCACTGCCAGGGAGCAAATAGAAAATAAAATGAATTTTAGTTCGGTTCACTGTAGCTTAATATTGATAATACATTACCAATTCCCAAAGGCTGACTTAACAGAAAGAGCAGAAACAACAAAAGATTTTCAATACTGTTAAGCTCTCTTTTACTCTAATTTGCATCTAAGATATCCAGGAATGAAGTCAAAGTGATAAGCATGAACTGCCTCATCCATTATCAGCAGTAAGTTGAAGCTTCCTTCCTTCCAACACTTGGTTTAATGTAATAATTACTCATGCAATGGCTTTAAGTCTGAATATATCAGATCTCTGTGGGTATTTCAAAGTCTATCTGGTAGAGCTTAATCTTGCAGCTAACAACTGAGATATCTGGTTGTAAATGTTGGCTACTTCTTTGCCCTTTTATAATAGTGTTGCAACGACCGTTGCAAGTTATCCAAAAACCTCTTGCCTCCAGCTCACTCGAATATTAACGGAAAACATCCAAAAGATCATTAAATGAAGTATAATTTCGATTGCTGCCTTTATTGGACCATAAATTAGCTCTTTGTTTAATAAGATTCAGTCTGTTCTCTCAGAACTGAACCCCTTAACCTCTCTGGGAATGCAGCCCTGGAGTAAAGGTAGAAATTACACCTTACATGTAGGTAAAAAAAAAAAAATAACACTAGAGATGATTAATAGAAGCTAGGAAATAAGAGAAAATTAGGAGAGCTCAGGAAATGTTTGATTGTTGTGCATTCTGTATGAGCATTTAACAGATAAATCCTAATTCACTTAATCTGATGCTTGCAGATCCCATGTGGAGGAGCAGTGGCTCCACTCCAAACTTTTCCGCAGATGACAGAGCTCCTAATTTCTCAGCCACCATAAAGGAAGCACATTACAGCTGCTCGTTAGCGGGATCTCATTCCTCCTGTAATGACCTATGTTTTATGAGGCTTTATAAGGCTGAGAACGTGGACAGACTGTAACAAAGAGCTTTGTTTTTCATTTCATTTTCTTTAACAGAAAAAACCAAAGCGGCACCCACACCTGCCATGGTCCAGTTTGATTTGTCCCTCTCCTGCTTCATCGTTCTAAGACACAAACATAGTTCAATTTGCCCTTTTGAGGTAGATACAGCCAGCACTTTCAAAGATGACTCCAACACCATGGTTTATTCATCAATTCCACTTGGACTTTGAAATGATTCCTCTGAAAGATAAAGAAAGAATATTAGCACATTATTAAATTATTAACGTTTCATGTCTATGATGTCTTTCAAAGTCAAATTCCTACTTTCAGCACACAATCTTAGCCAGTGAGGCTAATTCTGATTAAAGCCACTCGCTGCACAGATCACTAGCTGTTCTCATTGTTATTTATTTCCTCTTACAGCCCCTGGAGCTGATGAGAAGTGAAGCTGTTTTTTCCCAGACACTGCACCATTCCATCAAGGGTAATCAAATCAGCTGGGAGTTTGTGCTCAAACTCCCAGCTGATTTGGGTCTGTCTTCTGCAAATCAAACAGTCGAGGAAATAATTTAAAATGGGTGCTAAATGAAAAAGCAGACATTTGTTTTTTCTTCTAATCTTTCTTTAGAGCACTAGTATTTTTATCCACACTGTCTATACCTGTAGTTTCATGCATGGCTCCTTGATCACGCATACGATGACAGGTTGGTTTTTCCTGCAGCAGCTTGAAAGTGTGCTGCTGTGGATGGAGACATGCAGAGGCTGCAGACCTGCTGTCATCTCTAATTTTATCTCTCCCAACTAGAAACATAATCAGAAAATAAACAGGATGTGTAGCCTTTATATAGTTTCTGGCTACAAAAATGTGTTGCAAATTAAGACAAGTCATCCATTAAAACAAATCCAAGAAGAAAAGTCGTTCCTACGCAGCTAAATTCAGGATAATAATTCATCCAAAAGAATAATGAAGATTGAATGAGACATTGTGCACTGGTTTTCTTGCTCTCAGGTTGTCTTGGTGTCCCAGCTAGCGCATGTGTCACTGTGCCTCCAGCTACGGTGGATTAAGGTTTAATATTAGCACTGTGATTTACTGCGGTGTCCACAAGGTTCTCAGCCTTATTTCCAACCCATCATCCAGGGCAACTGATCTAATTTATAACAGAGATGGATTTAAAAACTGAAATTCTTCCTAATGTAAACAAAGTGTTTAGAA